CTAGTTATTCAGCTGGGTCAATAAACTGAGGCCCTGTGAGTTGAGCCGAGCTGCAAATTGAGAAAGAGTAGCCTTATGCTGCTGTCATGGCAACTTCCTTCATTGCACACTGCAGTCCCTTGTCCAATCAGGCGCAGACATAAGCTTCCACATATTGCATTTCATATATAATTTTAATCATCTCTTTTTTCCCCAGGATCTGTTAGTAAAATGTGAGAAGTTAAAGATAAGAGTTCAGGAATTACAAAGAGATTTGACCCTACGGCGCTGTCTGACCAGGAATGATGATGTTTCAACTATAAGATGTAATATAGAAGAGATAGATAAACACCTAGCTAATCATTACAGTAACATAGATAATAAACAATCTACTCTACAAGAGGTAAGTTAAACCTGTATAATATGATGTCTGTAGTAAATCAAGTTAGTCTGACTCTACAAGAGGTTAGTTAAACCTGTATAATATGATGTCTGTAGTAAATCAAGTTAGTCTGACTCTACAAGAGGTTAGTTAAACCTGTATAATATGATGTCTGTAGTAAATCAAGTTAGTCTGACTCTACAAGAGGTTAGTTAAACCTGTATAATATGATGTCTGTAGTAAATCAAGTTAGTCTGACTCTACAAGAGGTAAGTTAAACCTGTATAATAAGTAAATCAAGTTAGTCTGACTCTACAAGAGGTTAGTTAAACCTGTATAATATGAGGTCTGTAGTAAATCAAGTTAGTCTGACTCTACAAGAGGTTAGTTAAACCTGTATAATATGATGTCTGTAGTAAATCAAGTTAGTCTGACTCTACAAGAGGTTAGTTAAACCTGTATAATATGATGTCTGTAGTAAATCAAGTTAGTCTGACTCTACAAGAGGTAAGTTAAACCTGTATAATATGATGTCTGTAGTAAATCAAGTTAGTCTGACTCTACAAGAGGTAAGTTAAACCTGTATAATATGATGTCTGTAGTAAATCAAGTTAGTCTGACTCTACAAGAGGTTAGTTAAACCTGTATAATATGATGTCTGTAGTAAATCAAGTTAGTCTGACTCTACAAGAGGTTAGTTAAACCTGTATAATATGATGTCTGTAGTAAATCAAGTTAGTCTGACTCTACAAGAGGTTAGTTAAACCTGTATAATATGATGTCTGTAGTAAATCAAGTTAGTCTGACTCTACAAGAGGTTAGTTAAACCTGTATAATATGATGTCTGTAGTAAATCAAGTTAGTCTGACTCTACAAGAGGTTAGTTATGTCTGTAGTAAATCAAGTTAGTCTGACTCTACAAGAGGTTAGTTAAACCTGTATAATATGATGTATGTAGTAAATCAAGTTAGTCTGACTCTACAAGAGGTAATATGATTATCCTATAACCTCTTACATTATTTTAATATTATTCCAATATTTGTATTGTAGCATTGGGAAGACAGTTTACAGAGAATAGGTAATGAACAGGAACTTTACCAAGGTAAGATAGTGAGGTGTTATAGAACAGTAGATTAGAGTATTGGTTCTTTATATGACGTCATTAGCTAGGTTATGTTAAACAAATTACAGATTTGGGTTTTGATTGGTGTATGGTAATCTTGAATACGTCATCTTCACTCATAATTCCAGTCGACCCAGCTGTAAATGAGTAAAAATAATCTGGGAAAGAATACTAAGAGATTTGGCCGAAGACCAGATGGCAAAGATTCTTGTGTACCTATCTTTTTTCTCCTATATATTATGTTTAATGAAGAATTAAAAGATGTCGTTGAATCATCAGAGATATAATATTAAATATTTCAGCCCAGCTTCAAGATATTACTCGTCTCCAACACGAATGTCAACATCTTAATACAATAATGAAACAACTATCATCGTTCGTGTTGTCTATAACAGCTGTTACAGAGAGAATTGATCCCAAGTAAGGAGAAGAATTTATTCTCAAGGTTCAGATTGATTTTATATTACCCTGATCCCTTTTTAATAGAAAGAAATTTACCTATTCCTAGATCGTATCATTATAATTATTATTTTCTTCTGTTTGAGCCTTATCTTGTCTTTCATATTAGTTCAATCGTTCAAAAGTTATGATGAGTGAAGACTGAAAACATGAGTCAATGTTAAACAATGAATATCCCAGAATACCTCTCTCGGGTCTGTAAATGTATTGAACAGAGCTTTCAATTGGTTGAATATTTCAATCAACTTGAACAAGTGCTGCATAACAATTTCATCAGATCATGGATGGCGAGTGGAGTAACCCGCAAAAAAGACCATTTTAAACAGATCTAAATGTTAATCAGATTTTGAAATATATAAATGAATTTATTCTATTTTGAATCTGAAGAAGGAAAATTGCTTTGTAAGTTGAATGAATTTTAACTGAAAAGGGGAGTGGTTTAGTTTTGATTGATATGTGCTGCGGAATTTTAAACAAATTAAACTCGTTGCATGAAAACCAAAATTCATTACTGCTCTGAAATTTCTTCAAATCAGGTTTTCATTTCAAGCATGTGAACTCTCATAAGGAGAATGTATCTTGTCATTTGATTGCCTCCTTTTTCTACCCATTAATTATCATCAATGCACTAACAGAGTTCAAAATGTTAAAGTTGTTTATTCTGCTTGTGTTTATGGATTGTTGACTATAGAACAAATTTTAAATGAAGTTATTATGGAAGTCATTTCATCATCATAGTCATAGGCTGTGGACGTTAAAGATCCCTTGACAGTTGGAAATCGAAAAAGGGAAGGCTAATGCTGCTGTCCTGGCAAAGTTTCACTCATTGCAGAAGTGTATGACATTTAATTTTTTTGACCAATGCAAATTTTTGAAGATTGCTCAATCTACATTTTTACACACAACCAACAATCAAAAAAACTGCACCATGTTGTTGAAATTAAAATGTGTGAGATTTTTTTAAAGATTTTAACATTTTGACCTCTGTCTACCTACTGCTTGTTAATCACGATCAATCATATTTTGACACGATTTATTCTGTGTTAGGCTCAGTCACGTTGAACAAGATAAGATGCATGCCTTACTAGAGGAGATTAACGCTGTACAGCCAGACTCTCAACAAAGGTAAGAGCTTTTTTATTTTTTCTAGAGAATAAACTGAATCCTGATTGTGTTCATTTAACATGACACTATTTACAATGGAAATAAGCTTTAAATTTAGACAAGACTCACGCATCATGGTACTAGAATCAACCAATCAAGCTGACAATATCTTAAATCTGTTCCTTTGGAGCAAAGATTAAGTCAGAACGGCAGACCAGTTTCTCTGGGAAATAGTTCTGACCTTGAGATCCAATATCAATTTTGATATCTGAAGATCACATAGCGTGAAACTCTGAGTAAGAACAACCTGTTTGAATATTTTAATTTTAATATTGAACAAGAGACAATGTTTTATGAGTCACTTATTCACTATCCTCAGAGTCTGGCATTTTTACACCTCAGCATGGGTCAGGATAGTTTCAAACTTTATTTCTAATTTGGGTGTCCAGGAAGCTCAGAGAATAAGACATTCATACATCTAATATGATAGTGTTTACTTCTGATAGGAGGTTGAGGTGAAATGAGAATTTAACTCATAGAAAGTACCGGCCTAGGTCTGAAGCGAGTACCTGTTTACTTAGTTTTAACAATGATGAAAAATATTTTTAGTGAAACCGACTGGTCCTGTGTTTTTTGTACGAGATCCAGCCTTGATAGGAAAGTCATTACTAGTCCCATTGATTACCATCAAATATCCAATGTTGACTTCTTTCTTTAATCATTTTTAACCCCACTGCACTTTCATTTTAATACCTTTATCTTCACATTGGGCTTGCAGAAAAATACCTTTTAAATATTCTTTTTGGTTTCATTTGTCTTCATAGATTTTTTACTAAAGTCATACTTGCTGTAATTATGAGAGATTGTACTGTCTTTGCCCCTGTCTACCTGTCTATCTGTCTGTCCATCTGTCTGTCTGTCTATTTGTCCATCTGTCTGTCTGTCTATTTGTCCATCTGTCTGTCTGTCTGTCTGTCTGTCTGTCCATCTGTCTGTCTATTTGTCTGTCTATCTGTCTGTCCATCTGTCTGTCTGTCTATTTGTCTGTCTATCTGTCTGTCTGTCTGTCTATTTGTCTGTCTGTCTATTTGTCTGTCTGTCTGTCTGTCCATCTGTCTGTCTGTTGGAATTTAGGCTTGTGAATACAATAGAGGCTACAGGTGTTGACAGTATTCAAGCTTCAAGGGGCTCCGGCACTTCAGGTAACCCCTCCCGAACCTTTGTAATATTTGTCCAGAAGTCATCTATTACGGCCCTAAAATTTCCTAAATAAAGTTCGAAGTTTGAAGTTACCCTGTTCGACAGAAACTTTGGTTTATCCTAGTTTTATAGAAAGTAAAACTGACAGTGGGTGTATGTTGTATTGTCTGGCAGGCTATCTTAAAGCTTCAAGACAGGAAGTTGAATGGTATTTATATATTTATATATATTTTTTCAGGGTTGATGCAATACAGAACGTGGAAGAAGAGCGTCAAGTTCAAACAGCTAATAGAACTAATCCTTTAGATGACGAACTCATCAAAACTAAAGGACTACTGAAAGCCC